CTTTCATAGGAGCATAGCATTTTGATGACACCGTTCTCCTCTATTCTGCTTATGTGGTTATTCCATTCTTTTTTTCTATTTTGTGTCCGTTTATTTATATACTGCATTTTCGATCTCTCAGCGCATTTCTTGTAGTTCTTCTCAGTACTATCATCCCTGCCGTGTCCAGTAGCCTTTGCGTTGTGACTGTGTCGGGTCTTGTTTTTAAGGCATATTTCATTATTGGTCTTTATTTATTGGTTTTATAAATTCTTGACTTCATCCCAGTGTTAATGTGTCTGTTTCGCCATATAGTATTATTAAGGCATCCTGCCAGTCTATTTGCATTTTGTACTTAATGTCTCACTTCTTTGTCCAGGTCTCCATAGCTAGACAATGTAATTCCCAGGTATTTTATTTCCATTACTTGTTCAATACTGATGCCATCAATTTCTATTTTACATGTTGACAAGTGCGATGCAGCTTTTCAACTACTCTTTTATATATCTTTCCTGTATATTACCTTATGTAGAATATGGAATTTCTCTTCTAGTTAGACAAGCTATTCAATCTATAGACAATCACTTCATTACTCATTATTTTTGTTATATTTCGGTGCTTCGGTGAAGGAGAAGCACCTATTCTTTTTCTTGCTGTTTCTTTCTTATTTCTTTGTTCCGTACCCATTGTTTCTTTTTACCTTTTTTCGTTCGACTACAATAGGAGGTCTGGACTGGAATGAGCCCCCACCTCACAATGTCTCATGGTCCCTTGGAGATTTAGAAATGTTGCCCTAAAATTTTTTCGTTAATCAATTAAAGCGAAATTTTGTTTTTCAAACAAATCTCACTTAAAAATTATACATCATTAAGTATAGTCGACACGTAATTTCGTGAGAAAATTTATAGGAACCAGAGCGAGTTAAATCCTAGAAAATGGCAACAATGTTAGAGTGGTCACTACTTTTTTGAACAGGAGCGTAGACATCTAATTTTAAATTAAATAAAAGTTTTTATTTTTATTTAAGAAAAAGTTTCATTTTCTATAAAGTTTAAATAAAAAATATTGGTGTTGTTAACCTCTGTGATATATCCAGGGAGTGATAACACTAATAGACTCGACTAAACAGAACTTATTGTAAAATAATAATACCTATAAAACATTGTTAATAAAAGTATTTTAGTATACAAACGTTTTAATAACACAACTACAAATCTTAAGTATTGGTTGAGTGACATGGTTTCATGTGTCACCTGAAACCATATCATTCTAGTTTTGTTTTATTTCTGTGCACAGATGGAACCTTGACATTGTAATGAGTTAGAATTGCGTTGTTCGCCAGCGCTGTTGTCAGATCAAAAGATAGGGAAGATCACTTGGAACCTTTTCACACTAATAACTCCAAATACGCGATTTTGTTAGTTGGAACCCTGTCATTTTAACCTACCGATATGTTGTACGTTTTTGTTCTATCATGAAGTGTCTTTGTACTCTATTTTCAAAGATATATAAGCAAAACTAAAATATCTACAATTACAATAAAAATAAAAGTTTCAACTAACACCTAGTTAGAAATAAGAACTTACTAATCTACTCAGAATCACTGTTATCACTAGTATCAGTTGTATCTTCTAAATTTATAGTTAATTTGTTTATTGCTGGTAAATATTTAACATAGTCATTTTCCACTGCGATTACATGTTTGATTACATTTTTCCAGTTGGTTGCTGTGATCTTTGTGACTTCTTTTCTAATTAACTGGAGAGCAATAGACAAAAATTTAGAAGCCACGTTTCTTCTTCTATTTCCTTCAAGTTGAGTCCATATTAACTCTATTGGGTTCAATTTACAATAGCAAGGAGGAAGTCCAAGCACGGTATGCCGATTACTACGAGTACAGTTATCAACAACATATTCCTTCTGGTACTGTCTACTATAAACAACCTCCAAGAATTGCTTTTTACTATATGATGCCTCAAAGTACAAATCTCTCTCAAATAAAATTTTTTGAATTTGTAATTTGTTTCAAGTAATATTTGGAATTTTCTCATTAATCTTGAATGATATGATACGTTGTCCATGATAATCACACTATATTTAGATAATCTCGGAAGAAGAGATTCTTCAAACCATGATTCAAAAATTAAACTTTCCTCATGATAATCTAAAGACGCGTATTTAATTTTTTTTTTTGCATATATTAATAATACATTACCGATCCATCTATTTTCTCCACCGCAGTGTAAAATTATAATTTTACCAGGACCAGGTCTCATATCTAAATAAACAACATTTCGTTTTATTTTTTGATACTGTTATCTATCTGATAGAAATGTTTCTTAAAGAAATAATTATTCTAGTACTTTCCATTAGTGTTTGGCGCTTGTCTATAGTTTTTTTACTTAAAATTATGGGTTTTAAGAAATCATCAAAGTGTTGTTGCTGAATATAAGAGAATATCCTTTCGAACCAGTTCACTTCGAAGGCTTTCAATAGTTGGAAAAATATTAGCCGCATCCATTTTGTATATTGTTCTGATTATATGTTCCTTTAGGTGCGGTTCTATTTGTGTGGATTTGCACAATCCTTTCTCATCTGTCTAGAAGAAGATGTTGCTCCTTTAGTCTTGTAGCAGGTTGCTTTCGACACTCTGATAAACATGTTTCTACAATTGCTTCTGATTTAGACAATTTAGAACATAATCCTTCATAAACATGTTTAAGCATATGTTTGGGATCATCAGAGAGGTACTGAAAATGTCGCTTAAATTTTACTATACACGGCTTGTAAAAATATTTTAATTCATTAGAGGGTTCCACTGGTTCTTCAGCTGCAGAATTATTATTACACCATGGGTGTCAGATTTTAAAGTATTTTCGTAAAATTATAACCTTTACTGTTCTTTTACATACTTTTACGTACTTCCCTTCTTTGTGAGTTTTATAAAAACTAACTTCTATTTTTTTTTTCAAAAAAACATTGAACGTTTACATCTATGGTTCCTGAGTTGAACTTTTTTTTATACTTGAACCCTCCATATCCTCATGATAATCTAGATTCACGTCTTTAATTTTTTTTTGCAGATAATTATACATCGTCGATGCATCCATTTTCTACATCGTAGTGTAAAATTATAATTCTGTCCTTTATTGGGCGGTACTGAATTAGAACACTTTTTGTTATTATTCGTCCAACTTTTTTTCACGGCGTCATGAGTACCATACCAGGTCTCATCCAAATAAACAATTATTTCGTTTAAAAATAAGTAAAATATTATACCTACCTACCCAAGTGTAAACCACTGGACAGTCGAAACGAAATTTATTCGGATAAACTACTTGATGGTTTCGGTCGCTCAGGCAAATATTGTTATCTTATGCAAAGAATGCATCGATGATAACTTTATCTGGGCGGCTGTACATATTTTCAAACATAATACCAGGCACATCTGAATGTAAATATCGATGAGAATATTAAAACTTTGTATTATTATACATCTCAGTCATTGATAATTTTGAAGTTAATAACTGCTCCTGGTAGAGTACTTTTGTTTTAATTTTTATTGCCTGCTTTTATTACAGTTTTACACAGTCTCACCGAAATACGAGGCGACTATATAAGATGCCATGGAAGCTATGGCTGTTTTATTTTGAAAATTATTTTTCCCTGTAGATGTTTTGGCCTCCTTGTTTTGTTTTGTAAGTATGTATTATATTTATTTGACAAAATACCCGTACTATGTTTTTTACACCTCGTATCAAAACTAGTAAAAACCGCCATTAAATGAAATTCTTTATAAAGGCCCAAAATTACACAATATTGTTGAATTTTCGTCTTTTTTAATCACAATCATCTCTGATTTGAAACAAATGTATATTCAGATTAAAGTTGTCTAACCTCACCGTTCCTATTAAAGACTTTTATGGAGATGGAATACAAATGATGCTATTTTTATTTTTCAATTGAATACTTTAACTTTTGATGTAAAATTCTCATCATATCTTAGTCTTAGGATAATAAAACAATTTTGTAATGACGAATCTAAAAAATTTCCTGATGCTATAACCACAATTTTAAGAGATACACACACTCAGTGAATTTCTTTCTCTACCTATTCAATAAACGGAAGAAAAAACTTTTTTTGTAGTTGTTTAATTATAATTTTAGTTCAGGGTGATGTGTTCATGTGCAGACGTAGCATATTAAAATTTAATTCGGTTGTTAGGATGTTTTTGGCCTCCTTGTAGTTTTGCTTTAAGTATGCATTATATTTATTTGACCAAATACCTGTATCACGTATTTTGACCCAATTATAGTAAAATTAGAATTATAGATGACAATTGTAGTAGTAGTTGTTTCGAACTATTTGATTAGTAGCAGCCGAAAGTAGTAATTAACGCGGGTTCATTTAATACACCTCGTATAGGAAAAATAGCTGAAAATCAACTCAAACCGCCGGTTTAATTATTTAAAAATTAGTTACTCATTTTTCCTTCCTTCCTTACCCTGCTATAACTGAAGAAAAATATGAATTCGAGCCTACCAGGTAACAAGGTAAGAGTTTTATATTTAATTACAGTCCGCTTTAAAAATTTGTTTATAAAACAAGCATTTGCCATACCAGTAAGAGTTCTGTAACAACGATATTTTTCCCTTGACTTCCATTATTAGGTTAATTTTTTCTACCAATATTTCCAAATATTTAAAAAATTTTAATTCTTCGAAATACACTTACCTGTTTTTTCCGACATTTATTTTTAGTTCTATAAAGTTGGGTTATATATGTTAAACAAAGTTTTTCTTTTGCATCAGAAATGTATGGATAACCATGAGAGTAAAAACTAAGTGACTGAAATAACTTTAATAACTAAAAGTATATATGATATGTGTATGAAATGTCAATTTTATGTTTTGTATTTGATTTATTTTAATTAATCTTTTCAAAAATTGAACTTCTAAGTATGTAAATTTAACGCTTCTTTTTAGAGTAAGGAAGTGGTTATTAAGCAATCTAACGAAATGGTACAAAATATTTAATTATCAATAATATACAAACTAAAACTAATCTATACAAATAACATCATCATCATCATCACTGTCATTTTTATCATGAATTTCAGGTTTATTCGAGACATATTTAGTTGTCTGCGCACCAGATTCCGGTCTGGCCTGGTCTTTTGGTTTGACCAATTCAGATCTTAGTCTAGATTCCTCATGTCTCGACGGTCCAGCTGTCTGAATCCCCTCAACTTGTTTGGCGGACTTGGAAAATTTTTCTAAATGTAATCCAGACTTGGAAAGATATTCCAACTTTCTACTCATCTCGGACTGTGAGAGACCGAGTTTTTTTGGAGGGCTAATGTATGAACTTCCTGGTTTAGACTGACTTTCCAATTTTTTTATTGGCTCCGTTGGTCGTGAACTGTTTTCTGGTTTTTTTGGTGATGCCGATTTGACTATTGATAATCCAGATCTCGACAGACTTTCAAGTTTTTGGAAAGATTCTGATTTTGACATAATTGGTTCTGGTTTTGCAACAGATTTAGATATATCCTTTACTGGTTGTGATTTGGGATTTATCTGATGATATTCTCGCTTTTTGGTCATATCTGACTTAGGACTGCCTTCTTTTGAAGTGTGGCAAAGTATATTTACGTTACCCGGTAAATCTGGGTTAGGTTTTTCTGATTTTTTGCTTGACTCCGATTTATTATAATAGGCTTTCATTTTCTTTGCCATTTCGAATTTGGAAGGATCTTTAAAACATTTGATGCCAGCCAGATTTTCAGTAGTTTTTTCTTTCGTAGCATGTTTATAACTTCCTTTTGAATGTTTAGGAGGTGTGACTGAAGGCTGGTCAACAATTTCGGCAACATTCGAGACAGTTTCTGCTTTAATCTTGATCTCTTTCGATTGTTTTGCTGCATATTTACCTGCAAGTGGGTTTATCGACAATTCTGTAACATTTTTATTCTCATCTGTTTTTACTTTCTTCTTGTGCAGATGTTTAGACTTCTTTGGATAATTCGGGATAATTTCTACATCTTTCGAAAAACTGTCAGATCTGTAACTAATGACTTCTGGTTTTCTAACTGGTGATATATCTACAGCCGGACTTAAAGATAGGTCTAAACTTTTACGATTTTTGTCCTTGACTGAAGGAGATTCTTTGGATTTTTCTGATAGGTTTATTGCTACCTGCACAAATAAAAACAAATTTAATTAGAGACATTATATTAATTAATTGCAATAAAAAGGAGTTACCGTGAAATATATTTGGCAAATCAACTTCAAATTTATAATCAAAATTTTCACTGAATATGGACACATCAGCAAATTTATCGAAGTTATTATTAATTACATTTAAGTTTTGTGTCTTTGCAAGATATTTAAAATCAAGGTATAGTAAATAAGATTTATTTAAATTGTTTTAAACACTAGATGATAAAATACTATTATAAGAAATTATTTTTTTCAATGCAAAATTATGTTGGCAATAAATATTTGAGGAAAAAATGGGGCAAAATAGTTAAAGAGCAGAAAAATTCACGTGAAAGATTCTACTTATATCAATTCCGATAACGATATAGGCCAATTGAGTTTTTTACTCAAAACAACTGTATACACGGGTTTGACAGTTCATATGTGTAGTATGAGATATTACAAAAAGACTCTCATCTAGGGATTCATAAATTTTTACTGGAACTATTTTAAAATAAACAATCAAAACATCAACTTCATTATATTGTTCATAACTTAAAAGCTTGTCTATTTAGAGTATTAACGTCAACAGACAAATTTTCAGAAAAAAAAAGGTAGACAAAATCAGATATACTAAATTAAAATCGTTAATAAAAAAACAGTTATGACAAAATGAACAACAAAATCGTTTTTTTTTTTTTATATATTGTTATTAACTTTTTTATTATTTATTAATATTTGTTTAAATGTACCTGAACTTAAGGGTGTTATCGTGTTAAAATTGTGTAAAAGGATGGGCTAGATCGGTTGAATAGTTTTTGTGAAATTTCATTTGTTTATAAGATTTTTTGAAAAATGAGCTAATTTCTAAGTTCCAGATAATTTGACTGAATAGATCCCAATAATCCGGGGCTTATTTTCTTTGTTAGACGTAGACTTTGCGTAAGACAAACCTATGCAAAACGTTAAAAAAATTCATTTATTTACAAAATGATGTAATAGTAAATAGCACTTTTTAAACTTTTAAACATTTACAATAACTCCTTAGAATTAAATGGCAAACAAATATTCGGAAAGCTGGTTAAAAAACAAAACTTAAAAAAGTTTTACGACTCAGGATAGCCTTTTTTTAAATCACGTATTTTAATTAACAGTAAGACCGAAAAAAGGGTGTTGTAATAAAAAAGTACTTTGCGTTTCGATTAGAGTAAAAGGAGAAGGAGTAGCGGATTAAAGGGCCAGCCGCGCTCTCCACTCCAAAAAATCCAACACGGTTTTAAAATAAAGCGCTCGTCATTTTTTCCGAACACACACGAAAATGCAAAGTTTTTTTTTATTTAATTAATGGCTTTGGACAACTTGATCCATTCAGCCACGATAATTTATTTGACTACTTGAATTTGTTAATGAAGTATTGACCTATTGCATTTGTTAACAAAATAGTACTTCGCATAGAGGTAAATTAAAAATATAATGTAAACATCAGTATCACAAGAATCAGTAGATTGATAAAAAACATAAATTCATTCGTTCCATTCAATGCCCTAACCAACTTAAAGTGAATATTTAGGACTCACAAGGGATTACATAATATAGGGATACTTTTCACGCTAAGGTACCTTTCATAGCGACTGTATTACAACACAAGACAGGCACCGGCTAGGAGGTAACTATATAACATAAGGATAGACAGAGGGAACAAAGCTAGATTTATACATTCACATTACACATTCCATCCTAAATTTTTTGTTTAGTCCTTTTTAAATGCTCCCAAACAAATTTTTTAAACACCTAATATTATGACGAGAGATACATAAAATGGAAGACTGACACTGAGGAAGAGGTATTTGTTCTTTTATTATCAGATTTTCCAATAGATACTTAATAGCAGTCTCATTATATATGCACCCAAACATCTAATGATTTATATCGCCAGTGTTACCATTAGAATCACAAAGTTCGGTTTCACTTAAATCTATGAAGATAGGCTTTCAGAGTAGCATGATTAACAAGGCATCTAACAAACATTGAATATACTCTTCTATTGGAATGACTTTTTGCAGCAAAAGGTACATTAGGTAAAACATGGTGAATTTTTGTATAAAGGTTGTTAGTTCTGTTACAGAAAGCATTCCAATCAATTCCCCCATTTTCTTTTAATTCTTATTTACGCAACGAGACTAAATCACTTCTATTAAGCCAACTAATTTCTGATCCTTTGAACCCGCTTCTTTAGCACGATAATCTGCTTTGGTGTTACCCGAGATACCAGCAGCAAAGTATCTTTGTTTACAACACTCCTGAACAATTTTCAATTGCAAGTGTTGCAATGACTTTTATTTTTCCCTTCTTTTATAGACACTATTACATTGTCAAGATTTTTTTTGAAACGAAATAAAAAATTGGACAGTGTAGAGTTAAAAAGTGCTATTTATTATTAAATCATTACATAAATGTAAATTTGTTAAACTTTTTTTATCGGTTCATTAGTAAACGTCTTAACGAAGAAAATAAGCCCCGTATTATTGAGATCCATTCAGTCAAATTGTCTGGACCAGCCTTAGAAATAGCCATTAGAAATAACACGATAAGACCCTTAAGTTCAGGTACATTTAAACAAATATTAATAAATAATAAAAAATTATCAACAATATTCAAAAACAGCAAACAGCATTTTCCCATAACTGTTTTGTTTATTAACCGATTTTAGCATATTTTAATTTAGCATATCTCAATTTGTATACCTTGTTTTTCTGAAAAAGTTGCCTGTTTTTCGTCAAATCTCTAAATAGACTAGTTTCTAAGTTATAAGCAAAATTATAAGTTTGATGTTTTGATTGTTGATTTAAAAATAGTTCAAAGAATCACTCTGATCTTACGCAATTTTAAAATATTTAAAATACACGTAGGCGAGAATAATATAGACAAATATATACTTGAGGTTAGAAATCAAAGGAATGATACTTTGATTCAATTCTGGCAACAAGAGAAAGTGATACCTACTGTATAACTCATTCAGAAACCAGAAGGACTAAAACTCATGACATTTTTCAAGACCAAAATTAGAAACACTAAGAGAACAAACTAGCCGTCGAGAACACTAGGAATATGAAAGAAACTCGGGCACTTGCCAGGAGAAATATATATATATATATATATATATATATATATATATATATATATATATATATATATATATATACGAGAGACTGGATAACAGAACGGAAGCAAAAAATAGGAAATTGTATCCAAAATATATGTTTTATGTACCAAAACAGCAGAACAAGAGACTAACTTAGACCGGACTCCTTCGAAAGCATATCTCAAAACTAAAAATTAGCTGTTCATTTTTAAACACTATCCTCTTAATATCATTATTCTCTTATATATCCTCTTAGTAACATTATCCTCTTTATCTAATTGTGTTATCTACGTAAAAACAAGAAACTTAAAATAAAAACAAAACTAGTAAATGTTTGTAGATTAACACAAACCACAAATAAAACACATATCTCTAATGAATACTTTTCCTTTAAATTTGCTGATGTGTTTATAAAGGCCCCTTTATGGAATCCCTGATGGTAAATTCCACAGCTCTACACAGAATAATGCAGTAAAAATTACACAGGTAACATTGGTTTTGTTAGGCAGGGCAGGACAGGGACAGCGCATACAACTTTCTAGTTAATAAAAGTCTAGCTCAACGGCCACTTCGACATTTTCACGATTTATTTTACAATTAATTCTTTTAAATGCGCTAAGAATTATTAAGCATTTACGTGCTATTACGGGAATGGTGAGATGTTTAGTATATAGAGTGAATATATTGACATAGATAAAATATCAAAATATACCATGTACAAACGAGAGCTCTGTACTAAGTAGCACCACAGTCAGGACACAATGGGTTCTCATCCATTGAACACGTTACGAACCAATGGTTAATAGAAAAGATCCTATGTATACAGGGTGTTCTAAGAAATTTTTAACATCCTATAATTCAGGAAGTAATTAATATTTTTATTTATTGGAAAATGTCAATTGTACCTACAATACTATCAATTGATGTATACATGAGATCTGTTACGTTATCACGGGCGTTGTGACGTTATTACAATGTAAAAAACTTAATGGACTATTGGCTGAAGGTTAGGTAAAACGAAAGGCTTTTTATTCCAAATTCAACAATGTACCACTACGTGTATATTAATGTATCACCTCCAAATTAACCTGAAACTAGCATATTTTTATAGTTTTTACAAATTCCCAAGAAAAGTAAGTTGTCGAGCTTTTATTTAAATCGTTTTTTGAAAACTACAAATAGTAACAGATAATACATTTGTTGTGTCCACTTACTAATACGTTCATTCTGTATGAACTGAACGTGAGTTCATGCAGTAGTAAAACCGCTTTTCCTATTAAACCTAATGAATACGTAGATATGTTGTTGATTTATGGTGAATGTAGGTAAAATGCTGGAAATGCTCGAGCCATATACACGGAACGCTTTCTCGAAAGAACACCTTGTAACTTTTGCTAGGGTTGAGAAAAAATGCGGCAAGGTTCATTTACGAACGGTAAAGGGATAGAAATCATGTCAAAAAAATACAGACCGAACAAACCTTGGTGAATGATTTAGAATATGTAACAATTAATTCAATGTGTCATTAGGGTTCATGGCTGCAGAAATTAAATTAATACCCTCATTGTGGTAAACCGTTGAATTTGGGATAAAAAACCCTTTCATTCAGCTCTCAGATCTACTTAATTTTTTCCAGTGTAGTGATTTATACTCATAATCAGTACTTCCTAAAATTATGTGCTGTTCAAAACATCTTGGAACACCCTGTATATAGGACAATTAACCAGGTGCGAATAAGGTATAACCAAATAAAAACCTAAACAATATATAATTGTTGATTTAACATGACATACACACACACACACATAATCACCAGACAACGGGACCAGAATTGCTCTTCATTATGATCAGATTT